TCCTCCTCCTCCTCCTCCTCCTCTAATTCTAATCCTCCTCCTCCTCCTCCTCCTCCGTCTTCTAGCACTGATGATGTTACCTAGTTTGGGTAATGAAACATCTGCAAGGAAACAACCAAGCTTACAGAGCATCAAGGACCCCCCATAGTCTTTCTCCTCCTCCTTTTCCTCCTCCTCCTCTTCCTCTTCCTCCTCCTTGGCAACCCAGCTTTTGAGATAGTTTTCTTCTGCTTCTTCATGGCCATGACTCATTTCCGATTAAAACAAACCACGTGTTGAGCCGAAGAAACAAACTGAGGGGGAAAAATGGCAAGGAAGTGAATTTAGGAAAACAAACTCTCTTAGTTAGAACTTTCAACTCGTCGGCAATGCTGGAAGTTTTCATCTCTTGCAAAACCTGCTGGGCATCAATTTTAGGAAAGGGGGGGGTCCCCAAAAACCTTCATCCTGCACAGCAGGTGAAAGGCCAGAGTCACAAACCGTGCGAGATCCAACGAGGAGGATTTCTGCCTTAAATTTACGCAGGCAAAGCAATTTTTGGGGGGTGGGGTGGGGGAAATAAACGCTGTTTCAATAAAACGCAAATCAAACTTTGAGCCATTTGCGGTGTTGCAAAGAAACGCAGGCTGTCTCGGCCGACGACCGCAACCGAGCCCCGGAATGCCCGTCGTTCAGCGAGGCACGGTGTCCCTACTCTTGCCACGGTGGTTAAGTGCCGTCGCAACTTTGAACGGCCGCTAAACGAGTCGCTACGTCAAGAACGAAGGGCTCATCACCTTTATTTTTTTTCCTGTTTTGAGAATTTAACGAGCCCAAATTCGAACGGATCCTTAGTCCCTTTCTCCTTCTGTACCGAAAGAGACAGCGCTGGGCCGCTGGCAATCCCAGAATGAGATACAACTGGTTTGTTGAGTTCTTCCAAACCGCCTCCCCCCCCCTCTTCAGGAATCCAAGTTAATAATTATCGGGGCGAGCATTCTGAAGCAGAGAGAATTGCCCGATGCAATCTCGGCAGCCGGGAGATTGACGCAGGCTTTCACAAGCCAGCTAAGGGTGACCCAATATAGGAGCCAGAGGCTTTGTTGGCACATGTCGGTGAGATTCCTGCGAAATTCATTGTCTCGTCGTTACAGGCCGTGGAAGACAAATATACGTAGCCTTTATTGTCACCGTACACAACAAATACAACGAAGTTGGGTTATAGAAGATGGGACAGAGGAGCGATGAAGGGAAACAGTTTCGTCTGCCTTGCTGGGGTTGTTGAGTTGTGGCGTGTAGGACACAGGCTGCTTGGGAGAAGGTGCTGCGCATGGAACACACATGCATGCAGAGACCTAAGACGAAGCTCTACTTTAATGGATTCTAACAGATTAACTGAGTTGGAAGGGACCTTGGAGGTCATCTAGTCCAACCCCCTGCCNTCTCTCCTCCACCTCCTTCTCCTTGTCTACGGAGCTCCTCAGTCTCCCAGGTCAAGGTGCTCTTTTTCAGGACGCAACAGGACTTTCTGGTTTTTATTTGAAGACGCTTCGGTTCTCATCCACCTCGAACAAAGAATATCAGAGTTGGAAGGGACCTTAGAGGTCTTCTAGTCCAACTGCCTGCTCGAGCAGGAGACCCGACACCATTTCGCACAAAAGCTTGTCGAGTGCTCTTCTTTAAAACCTCCAGTGATGGAGGAGTCACAACTTCCACTGATTAATTGTCCTTCCACTGATTAATTGTCCTCACTTGTCAGGAAGTTTCTCCTTAATTTTAGGTTGCTTCCCTCCTTGATTAGTTTCCACCCATTGCTTCTTGTCCTGCCCTCGGGTGCCTTGGAGAATAGCTTGACTGCATCGTCTTTGGGGCAGCCCCCTGAGATATTGGAAGACTGCTACCCTGTCTCCCCTAGTCCTTCTTTTCATTAAACTAGACATATTCCCAGTTCCTGCCGCTGTGTTTCAGGCTGCAAGAGACTCTTATCTCTAAAATTGTATTTTCCTCTTCTTCTTCTCTTGCTTCACCTTTTGCCATTTTTTTCTGCTTTTCTGCTTTGGGCTTTTAACCTTTAGGGCTTTTGCATCAGATATGCAAAAGAGGGGGACGGAATCTATCCATTGTTGAAGCTCCCTCAGTACATTTGCATGCGGCCATCTCCCAGGCTGATAGAGCAAGGGAGCAGAAAGTCCGGAAAAAAAACATCAAGCGGTTGTCCCCACAAGGGAAGCTGAGGAATATCATAGATGGAACTAGCTAGAGAAGACTCTCCCAATGGTGAGTGAGCAGGGCCTTCTTGTGGCAGCAGAGTCGGACAGGGAGGAGGTTGGGGAGGAAGATGGGCCAGTCCTAGAGTCTGGGGAAGGCTCTGATGAGGGCTCTGCATCGGAGGCAAAGAGGAGGCCAGGGGCCGTCTGACAGTTATCAGCTGCCTTCGGAGTCAGACATCAGTGAGGCAGAAGAACAGCTGGAGCCTGTTCCCAATGTGCGCATGCGCAGAGTGGCCAAAGGAAGGGAACAGTTAAAGAACAGGGGCTGACTTGGGAGGAAGGCCACAGGGGGACGGTGAATGGCCCCTTCCAGAGGGAATAAAAGAGGAGCGAAAGGGGAGTGGAGTTTGCAGGAGACCATTAGTTCCCTTCAATGGTTCCTGACTCTCCGAGACTCCTTGCCGAGTTTTGCAGATATCGACCTGGCAGCTCTCCAAGCCAGATAAGGTCTGTGACTGTAAATCCTCCCTTGAAAGACTTTGCTGGATGTGAATGAGCAGAATTCACAGCAAATTAATAAGAGGGTTTTTTGTCGGGACCAGGAGTTGGCTTCACGCTCTCGGGAAGCCTCGGTGAGAACAGAACAGAGACGGGAGGAGAATTTCAACCAGTTCAGTTGATGATCTTCGTAGCCAACGGCGGGTTGCCTTTCTTCTCTTATCAGGAAGCCAAGTTATACGATCTGGACTTTGAAACTTGGTGTGTAGGGAGATTTGGGTTTTCAGTGCTAAGGACGATGGCTTTGAGAAGACCCGTTTTTCTTATCAAGCTTAGCTTTGATGTTTAGAAGGGCGGTTAGTCTCAGTTCCTGGTTAAGCTGTAAAATGCTGATTGGGTTCACACCTTGCGTTAAAGCAGCTTCGTCTCGATCTCCCTTATGATCTCAAAGAAGAACAGAAATCAAAACGCAACACAATTTGCCCAGTTAGGGAAGCCTGGGACCCAATACTGGTAGTCCTCAAATTATGGCCACCACCGAGGCCAAAATCTCCACCACTCAGAGCAACGGTTGTTAAGTGAATTGTGTGGATGGCCCATAGAGAGCATGGAATGGTCCTTTGGATGGAGCCAATCCACGCTTCCTGGCTTCCCCTAACTATTGTCTTATGTTGGCCAGAAGAATTGATCGCTTTAGTTTGGTAAGATTTGGAAATGGGCCACTCGTTGGAGATCTAAGCCCACCCCACTTTGATTGCCTTTCTTATCCCCCGCTCATTTCCCGTTGACGGTTAGTTGGCCAGATTCTTGTAGAGAGCTGGGACGAAATGTTCTATGGAGATTCTCAGTCATCCAAAGTCTTTGGTTGTCCCGAAGGTGCTTTTTCAAGAGACAACTGGACGTTCTCGTTTTTCCTTTGAAGACCTTTTGCTTCTCATCCAAGAAGCTTCTTCAGCTCTTCTTCTCTCTTCTTCAGTGCTGAAGAAGTCCGGAAAGATGAAAAACCAGTTGCCTCTTGAAAAAGCACCTTGGGGACGAAATGGGCCACCGTTTCTCCGCGGCACAATGGCATCCTTCAAGTAGAAGACAGATGGCAAAGTCCTTGGTGCTCTCAGAGCTTGGTGGTTTTCTTGCAGACACTTCGTGGTCCAAATTAGGTAACATGCAGAGCAATTCCCGCATCCTTCTAGCCCTGATGATGTTACCTAGTTGGGTCATGAAACGTCTGCAAGAAAACCACCAACCTCAGGGCGCACCAAGAACCCCCCCCCCACTCCTCTTCCTCCTCCTCCTCAACTCCACAAACCCCACTCCCTTCTAGCACTGATAATGTTACCTAGTTGGGGAGAACAAAGGCACCTTTGGGTAGGTAGGGATGTTAACCAGGCCAGGCCCGGTTCGTACATGGATGGGACAAGCAGGTCACCCTACTTTGGGGAAGTAGGCATGACTTCAGGAAGGGCAGCAAGGGCACAAAAAAAGAAATTGCATGGGTCCCAAGTTCCCAGGAATGGAACGGAACGGAAGGGGAAGGAAGTTGATCATCCATGGAGTTCAGAACAGTTTCACTTCTTCCTTCCTCTGGCTTTCACTGGCTGGCTGAGAACATCGCTCGAAAGCTAATGAGGAGAAGAGGCTGCGCTCGAACCCTCCCCCTGACCTCAAGGTTTCAGGAAAAACGGCTTCTGCCTGTTGCGGGAATGTCCCCCATTGTCCTCCTGGACTCAACACATTCCTTGGCTCTCTTTCTAAACATCCCTTTCCCCTGCCCCCCCCCCTCTGTCTGTCTGTCTGTCTGTCTGTCTGTCTGTCTTTCTCTGTCTTTCTCTCTTTCTAAACACCCCTTTGCCCCCCTCTTTCTCTGTCTAACTCTCTCTCTCTCTTTCTCTCCCTCCTTCCCTCTCTCTCTCTCTTTCTCTGCTTCACTCTGTCTGTCTGTCTCTCTCTCTCTTGTGTTTCTCTTCCTCTCTCTGTCTTTTTCTTTCTCTTTCTCTGTCTCACTCTCTGTCTGTCTGTCTCTGTCTCTCTCTCTCTCTTGTGTTTCTCTTCCTCTCTCTGTCTTTTTCTTTCTCTTTCTCTGTCTCACTCTCTGTCTGTCTGTCTCTGTCTCTCTCTCTCTCTTGTG